AGAGCACATGTAAAATGGGTAAAAAATTCTAGCCATAATTCATAAAACAACAAGTCATAAATCAAAAGTCGAAAGTCAAAAGCAAAACATCCGTAAGTCGAAACTTAAAAGTGACCCTCCACGGCTTCCATATATATGAGAGTTCCTGTATAAAATAGTTGTGTAGGTCGATCAAAACACAATTGCTTTATAAAATAGAGAAAATAAGGATCCCTAAAGAAAGCCCAACACGACAAAATTGAAATTGTTGCAGGTATATAAAAGCACATATAAAAAGCATATATTAAAGGGTATATAAAAGCATAGGTAAAAGGGTATATAAAAGCATATATAAAAGGGTTTATAAAAGCATATGTAAAAGCACATTTCATCAGATCAAAAAGACATATTACATCCAATAGAATTATAAAAGTTGATCGACATTTTATTCTTTTGACCAAACAATTAAAACACATAATAATCCTGTTCAAGAATTATTGTGTAAGAAATTTTTTGGTCGACAAACCAGAAAAAATACGATAATATCCTGTTCTAAAACTCCTGTGTAAGATATTTGTTTGGGCGACCAAGCAAAAAATATACGGTAAAAATCCTTTATCAGAGTTCCTGTAGAATACATTAGTGTTTGTCAATCGGATCAAAGTTGTTTTATAAAAGCACATTTCATTCAATCACAAAGATATGTTATATCCAATGAAATTGTAAGAAATGACATTTTAATATTTTGACAGAACAAAAATATGATCAAAATTCTTTTTCAGAATTCATGTGTAAGATATTTCACTGTGTTAACGATTATATTAGTAGTTATAAATATTTTTGACAGGTTATATGGCTCTATATAAACGGTTGTTTGTAAATATAACCCGAGCTGTAGACGAGGGTTATATTGCAAACAACCGTTTGTATACGGCCATATAACCTGTCAGAAATATTTATAACGAATTTATAATACAGCAAGCATCATTTTTAGAGTAATAAAGTGATATTTCTTTATAAATCGACAACAGTCGTGTATATAAAACTATATAAACGTCACGATTATCCAATGAAAAGCGACGTTACAAACTTGCAGCATTATAAATGTATTGATTATAAGACACAGAAAAAATTAACAAGCAACAATTCATATGCATTGTTATAGCATTGTTCGAGTGTTTCGTCCGACTTCCAATGACAATTTTTCCCGCGTATTGTCTGTAACAATTTCAGACCTTACATTATTATGCAAATTTGGCTTGTGTTAGGCATTACGAAAGTTACATTACGTAAGTTTGGCATTCATCAGCTCCATTGCCGTAAGTATTGTCTGTATACCTTTTTATATCTTTAGTTCTATGTGCATTAGTTCTGATAGATAATTTTACAATTTCTTCTTCCTTTAAGTAGCGTACATCTCTTGTATATGCCTCAAGATGTTCACTTTCATAGCTTGAACTTGAATTCCGAGGGAGATTTACATTTGAACACTTTACGATATTTTGGAATTAGTGTTGATTTTTGGCATTTGATCGGAATATGTTTTAGAGCTTAGTGCTATGCTTTAATGAGTCCCTCGACTTTCATTACCATGTGTATTTGCTACTACTGGAGATGACCTTCCTTTACTCTTATGTTCACTTTTATGTGTATAAAGTGTGTGTCTGCGCCTATAGTTTTATGCCTCATTTAATCTTAGAGACTTAGTTCCCATGTCTCGCATTTCAACACCATGCGGAGGTGGTATGATTTCTTCTTTCTCTGTTCATTGAAGGGCTATCACAATTATCGTAAACATGTTTATGCGGATTTTGTCCTTGGTCTGTACTTCTCGAAGGTACTTTTGCACTTCCTGATAAGTGCGTTTCCTGTTTGGTAGAGGTTTGAAGACTATAATCATCTTTAGGCTCATAAAATTCGTCTCGTCAAAAAGGTTCAAATCTGATGATTGTATACCGATGATAACTTTTATATTGAGATCCAGACGCTTCACTGCTTTTGCTTATTTCTGGTATTAAGAATCGCTTTTTAATTACCTCTGTTTCAAATCAACGTGATATTAGATTGCATTCTGTTAAGCAAATTGCTGAGTTTGGGTGTATTGATGTGGGGAATCTTCTGCAAATAGTTATAAAATACCATAGATTAGTAATAGCAAACAAAACCACACGTGATGAATGTTCTAAAACAGAAGCGTGCAACATACAATTCTATATACACAGTATATGTTTCAGATTTCATGTTGTAAATCAGATCAGTATGAAAGTTTAAATTTAAATATAAATAATATATGTACATGGTACATGTCAAGATAAAAACGGTTATCTTGCATTGACAATGAAAATTTGGAACACTTCCCATAACGTTAAATGATTGTAAACACACGTATCCAAATAACGATATCGTATCAATTGTACGTATTTATCTAACTGTATTATTCATATGATGTTTATAAAGAAATTATGATTAAGGAAAATAGATTAGATTGAGTAAATTTATTCAATTGTTCATAAACTCCAGTCACGTTGAGCAGACGAATCATTAGTTACGGCGAATGAGATTTAGAACCTTGCTTCATGTTATTATTCACGGTATACCCTCACGTTTTATCAGAGATGGATCCCCAGTTATTGCTAGTCCATTAGCTCATATCATAAACTTATCCCTTATCCAAGGTCAAGTCCCTGATGATCTTAAATCTGCAAGAGTTGTCCCCGTCTATAAAAAGAACGACAAATTGTATGTTGGTTATTACCGGCCTGTGTCCATTTTAAATGTTGTATCTAAAATCCTTGAAAAGGTGGTTTATGACCAGGTTGAAGCTTATTTTAAGGATAAAGATCTGCTGTATAAATTTCAATCAGGTTTCAGGTTTCTGATTCACCTTACAGACTTTATCAGGTATGAAAATGATAAAGGTAATGTTGTTGGTATGGTGCTGCTGGATTTGCAGAAAGCGTTTGACACAGTCGACCATTCCATTCTTTTAATGAAACTGCAAGCATCAGGTCTCAGTATTGACGTCCTAAATTGGTTCAAATCATATTTATCAGATAGACAGCAGCTTGTAGATGTCTCTGGTACTTATTCTTCCAATTCCAAAATAACATGTGGTGTTCCTCAGGGCTCAATCCTCGGACCCCTTCTCTTTTTAATTTATGTAAATGATATGTCAGCTGTGGTCAAAAATAAATTGCTTTTGTATGCTGATGATTCTGGTATCCTTGTATCTGGTAAAAGTTTATCTGTTGTTGAAAAGGCATTGACAGATGATATGGAATTGGTCAGCCAATGGTTAGTGGACAATAAGTTGTCATTGAACTTGGGTAGGTAAAACCGAGTAAATTTATTTGGGTCCAGGCTAAAGCTTAGGTCACAATCTAACCTGCATATAACCTTTTCTGGTACATCCATTGAATCAACTTCATCTATCAAGTATCTTGGGATTACTATAGACCAAAATCTGTCATTTTGCGCCATAGCCGAGTCTGTTCTTAAGAAGGCCAACTCTCGGTTAAAATTTCTTTATCGCAAGAAAGAGTTTCTTACTCAGCATACCAAGAAACTTCTGGTTATGTCTCTTATTCAGTGTCACTATGATTACGCATGCTCTGTTTGGTATAATAGCTTGACACAGTCTTTAAAGAATAAGTTACAAACTTGTCAAAACAAAATAATGAGATTTGTATTTGACTTGGACTCCAGATCCCACATTGACCCATCCCACTTTAAGTCCCTTAACTGGCTACCGGTCCACAAAAGAGTTGAACAGATAATGTTGTGTCATGTTTTTAAGATAAAAAATGGCCTATCTCCGGATTACATGTCTGAACACTTTATTTCACAAGATTCCATTCATAATTATAGTACAAGACTTAGTCAAAAGGGTGGATATTGTCTACCTAAGGTCAAAGGCCAGGGTTCTAAGTCCTTTGCTTTCTCTGGTATTAAATTATGGAATGATTTACCTGTAAAGTTAACGGAGATCAACAGGTTACAAAGTTTTAAGGTTGCTATCAAAAGTCATCTTATGAACAGTATTTAAAATTTTTTTAAACATGATTTTACATATTTCGGCTCAGGATTTTAAATTGTCTGCTATTTATATTATTAAAATTTTAGTAATGTGTTTAAATCCTAGCTGTAAACAGGAGTATCATTAACTCAAGATTTGACTGTGATATACATTTTTATGATTTATTAGTTTTTTTTAAACATGATTATATTTAGGTTTGCCTCTCTATGTCATGTCGCCAATACAAAGGACCACAATGATAATAAGAGCTTTTTTGCCCTTTTTTGTGTTATCCTTGGTTTTGGTGAGCATGTCATAGTTTTACTCGTATGTGATATAGTATTTAATAATGCTCATTATTTTATCCTATGTTATATTGTCAACTATGTATATGCTTCCTTTGCCGAAATAAATCTATCTGTCTACCACGCTAAGTCAATAAAACAACTATGCAGCAAAGAAGGATTTACTTTGTAATGCTTTTTCTTATATGATAGTGTTAATATTTGATCAATATAAACTTAACTCACACTTAACTTGCAACTACAATATATAAGGTTATTTTAAAATCAAATTGAAACTAAGAGTAGATGTTGTAATGTCATTTATGCCAATATGTATATATTTTGGACAGTGTAACGTAAAGTACCTTAATATTTTTACTTATATTATGCAAAAGTTTTTTTTACAAAAAAATGTTGAATCATAAAAAAGTAAAAAAAGGAAAGCAGGTTAAGAGAATACTTTAAGTATTTCAACTATACGACGTGTGAGCTATTGTTACCTTATTTGGTTTTCCACTTTTGGTTTAGGAAAAAGTAATTCATATTTGCAGAATCAAGTCTCTCTTTTAAAAAGAGCACAGGTCTTTGTAAATCTTAAACGGAATTGTTTAAATCGGACCTAACTTATACAGTGGAATTTCATATAGATTTTTTTAGAGAAATTAAAATGACAGATAATGCAACGGGGATTGATGCAGGGCCAAGTCGAGATAATCCCGTAGATGCAGACACCATTACGATTGATTGTGTAAGTTACAATACTGTATAAATATTTTCAATAAAGTTTTTCTTGAAACGTAACGTTTTTTTTCTTGGAGACAGTCAAAAGTAGTGACAATGCTCAATAACTAGTATATATATAAAACATAATTAAATGGTTATCGGTTTTATCATACAGTTTATATTTATGCCTGAAATCGAATACAAGATGGATCAAAATTGCATTACAACTTGATTTGAAAAATAGGGTTACCCTATCACGAATCATTTCGTTTTTAGTTTTCTCTATATAAAAACTTGATTATAAATTTGGCTTTACAACTGTATATTCCACCTTTAACATTAAAAAAATGCGAATGATATAGAATGTTGCATATTAAAAAAAAATTTTGTTTCAAAGTCAGCGGTGTTTCCCCAAAATCATACTATCTGAAAAAAAAAAAATTCATTGTAAACAAATGTAAAAAACTACATTTTTACTGATACTAAAAAAATTCACGGCAAAATAAATTACATTAAATATTTTTACCAGTTTTTTTATTTTAACAGGATGAAAAAAAATACCCCCCGGGTTAGTAATAGCAATCGATTTTGGGGGACATATGGTTGTCTTTATCCCTTTGAAGGGAATCGCATGAAAATGAAAACTGCCTCGAAAGCATCAAGGTTCCAACAACTTGGCCATCAAGCGGATTTTGTACCAGAAAGACACCGTCTTGTATACTACTTAAACCTGACAAAAGCATTGCTGAGTTTGGGTACAAAGCTGATTTTCAATTCAGCAAAAATGAGTCGCTTCCTGAGAGAAAGAGACCAAAAGACTGGAAGGACTGGAATTTCTTTCGCTCTTTCAAGATGCGACTCTACACTGGGGAGGTATGAATATATATCAAGTGATCAATCAAAATAAAAAAATAATTCAGAACATGATGTAACAAATGATAATTTGCGTCATTGTCTTAATTAGATACATTTGTGAGAAAAGTGATCCTACGGAAGCAGTAAAACACAATTGTCCTAAGATTTACTATTTAGCCAATCAGTGCAACACTGTTTGATTGAGTCTGTTCCGTCAAGTAGTACCCATGTTCCAATTTGATAAACTCTTTTATATATCGAATACAAATTGTTCTAAATTGTGACTGCATTAGATATTTAGCTTCCGTTAAGATTTATTTTCTTTGGTAGTTTGCTTTTTTGTTCAGTTGCAGTTTGTGTCCCTTTGTAGGAACTTACAGTCGATACTCCAATGGAAGCCGCAAAAAACAAACATTTACCAGCAGTTGAGGTACTGGCAAAAACAATAGAGTATCTGAAGGCTGAAGCAATTAAAAAACTACGAGCAGACGGTTGTGTTTATTCAGAAAAAGTAACCAAATGGGTTATAACGGCTCCTGCTATTTGGAATGACTCGGCTAAACATGTGATGCAAGAGGCGGCAGAAAAAGTAATTATCTAAGGGCTTGAACATGAATCAGAAGATTAGATATTAAAACTGCTGCATACGTTTTATCTTACTGTATTATTCATACGATATTTATTATAAGTTAAAAATTGATTAGATTCAATGTATTCATTTTAGCTTAAATATAATAGGTTTACTATTTCAACTATTTATAGGGTAGAAAAAAGGAAAAAAATCTCAAGCTTCGAGGAAAGTGCGCTTTTTACTTTCGAAATTCCTCCTGAGAAAATGGGAATTTTGCCAATGGCAATAATGAAAAGGGGAAATACTCAGCTCCTGGGAAACACTGATCTTTTACGGGGCGTTTTTTAATGGTTCATTTTTATCGCATCACTTTTCATTTGAAATGAGCTCTGGATCAATTGGTTATGTGCATAGAATTGTGACATAGCATTGTAGTATCCTGAAACACGTTAAGATGTTCTCTCTTGTTTTTGTTACGTTTTCCAGACATTTTTTATATAAAGTATTTATAGACATGTAATCTTTCTTTCCACATTTTTCCTTTTAAATAGTACACCTTTGTCAATGGTTGCAAGTGTAACACCGTTTTTTTTAAGAATTGTCAATTATTGTATTGTTAGTTTGAAAGATTGACTACTACTGTAATTTGTTGGGGTTTTTTTTTGTCGTGAATATTCTTAATCAAACCGTTTACGTTTTAATTAATGTTAATCCTCATTTGGTCTCCCATTTCAAAAAATCTGGTTTTTTTACTTTTAACTACATCAGGTTGGAATCAGTGTGAGTTTAAGTCAGCTGTGAACGTGCATGATGTGATTGTTTGTTTGTGGGCAAGCATGATTGAATTTCTTTCAGGAAATCCTTTTATACCGATGAAAACAGAAGCAAATACAACGCGTAGCATCTCAGTCGCACCCTTGCACCGAAAACAGCGTTATTAAAGACATTTTTATGGTCTCTACCTGTTTTCTTAACTGCATTATTGCATATGATTCTACTTAGCAACATCATATATAAATTGTAAATATAATAAAAGTGTAAAATGATAAAATGATGTTTTTTCATGTTTAAGGTGACACTGTTGATATAACAACGGTTAAAATAAATGAAGACAAGTCAAGTCAACAGGTTTACAAATCATCCGGATGTCCTTGGGGTGGATCAAAGGTCAATGAAAAATTTGAAATGTTTCTGGTAGAATTGATAGGAGCAGAAACAGTCAGGACATTCTTTGAAAAGCATGTTATTGACTACCACGACATGCAAATGGATTTTGAAGGCAGGAAAAGAGAGGTAAAATGATTATCATATTATTATATTAGATTGGCTGTAAGACTTTTACATTGACATGAAAAATTATTCAAATGTATAAACTGCATATTTGATGATGTTACTTCAAAAGTTTTTTTAGCATAAAAATAATTTTATTACAGTGATTGTAATCTTGATACTTATCTTTATAAAACAAATTAACGAGAACACTGTCATCAAATACTATTTTTATTGCATGAAACAATTGTGATATTTTGTTTTATCTCCTTACATTTCTATTGCTTGTTTTAACAGACGAAAGGGTCAGATGATCAAATACCGTTCAAACTCCCAGATTCACTCCGACAGTTATGGGAACGTGCAGAAGACAAAGAAATCGATGATATACTTGAAGAAAAGGAAGGGTTTGGAGAAATTGAATATATGACAGGCCGGTTATTCTTGGAAGCTAAAATAATCCATAGGTTTTTCCAAGAGACCATCGATGGCTTACTTAAATACATAAATGAAGAGGTTTTTTCAGAGATGTCAAATATTTCAGTAAACTCAATTATCTTGCTTGGTGAATTTGCTGAATCAAATTATGTAATGCAATATGTGAGTGAAAGTCTCCGATCTCTTCATATTCCTGTAGTGAGGCCACAATTACCAGAGTTAGTCGTATTGAATGGTGCTGTTCTGTTCGGTCAGACTGAAAAGATTGTAACGTCAATAATTTTGAGGCATTCTTATGGAATTGCAATGACAACGGAATTTGTTCAAAACAAACACAAGGAGGATGAGAAATATGAATTAGATAATATGATAATGGCAAACAATGTATTCAGAAAGCATGCCACTATCGGGCAAACCGTTCCAATAAATGAATGGACTTCTTCAAAGGAATATTATCCAGAAAATGAGAGGGACAGAAAAACTACTTTTTTCATTTTCACATCGGATTCAGTAGATCCTGTTCATACAACAGAAAAGGGTTGTAAATATATAGGCCAGGTTGGTGTAGATTTCGGATATAACAGTGATTCTACTATGAGGAAGGCAGTGAAAGTGGAGTTCAAATTTGGGGCGACAGAGCTCAAAGTTAGAGCCGTTACTTCGACCTCCAGCAAACAACACGTCAGCTATTTTAATTTACAATGAACCCTATTCCTTACTTGACTTGTTATAATGTTATTATTATTTTAGTGAACATTGAACATAGAGACGGTCTTTTTAACTGAAGAGTTTTAAAATTGAAAAGAGTTAGCATATTATTGTTGTACGTGAATGTTTGTGGTATCTTTGGTACCTTCTATTCGAACTTCTCCTAGTTCGTGTATTCCTACTTGAATACTATTATTCAACCTGAAGATATGGTACTTTTTTCCTAAATTTGTCTTTTGACGTCAAGTCTGTGATATGCAGGCTTCATAAGCTTTGATCCCCATTAAAATTCCATTTGATTTAATTCCGCCAATTAATTTCTCGTTTGGGGAACACGCATTCGTTAACTTCGGGACCATACGCTACTTTACATGGAATGCCACGTCCGTGTCACACTAAAGGTTCCATGATAACCGCCGTATGAACACATCTGCGGATGTTTCTAAATTCAAAGTTTCACCTTTTTCATGTTTAAATGTTGAATTCTGCTTAAGTCGGTAGTAGGGATACCTTGCACTTATCAGCAACGTCCATAAATAGGCTCAACCAAACCAAGCCTGCAGTAGTCTTCAATTGTGTCAGTTCTTTTCTCTCTATTTTTTATATTACAATAGTTTGCATACTGCTTTAATCTGTCAAACTGACATTATCATATCATACATACAATTCATAAACAGCCATTGAAAACATTTTATATGATTAATTGAATCTTGTGTTGCATTTAACTGTTTATATTCAAAATGAACGTAATAAGTCGATTTTGATAATATAAAAAATGTGTATGCAAACCTAAATGTATAGATTCCTACACTGCCATACTTACGTTGTCGAAATCGAACACTATGTATTTGTTAACTATAGAGCTAATTTTAATTGCTTTGTAAAAGAAAGAGCATCGAGATACGTGGCTATCTGCTTAGTACGAGGGGGAGTAGCCCCCCTCCCACAGTATAAATCAAATTGCCGAGTGTTTTTGGTGCACATTATTAATACATGCACTTCCAGTTAATGCACTGTGCATGTGTGTGTAATTACCAAAGGCGACAGTGTGACAGAAAGAAAGTTCTTGACAGTGTGAAACTGAGACAGATATCTGCTCGGCATATATATCAAACGATGAGCATGGATCAGAATGAATAAAGTAGGTGTTTCATGTTTATCCCTGTTTCTCGTATTCTCGGGGTTTCTCGTATTCTCGTGGAATCATTAAAACGGATGGAAGCGACGCTCGCGACTTCCGTCGATATCCGAAAACATGTCTATTTAGCAGAGCATTTCATCTCCATTAAAAAAATAAAAGAAATGCGGCAAAAACCGATAAAAAACAAAAAAAACTGTGGAAATAATCGTAAAATCCAGAAAATTTAATTAAATTTATCAATTTCCCCCCAAAAATCATCAGTTTTCTAGTTTTTTTCCATGTTGCAGAAATCTGTAGCGGGTCTCTGACGCAAGACGCTTCAAATGACGGTCTCACACTACTATTTATACAATACAGCTCAAAATATTTGTTCCACGAATAGATAATATAAAAAAGATATGAACTCCAATTAAAAACCAATAATGAAACATTGTTTGTCCTAAACACATTTCATTTTTGACAACTGCAACGGAAAACAGTAGTATTCATTGTTAAATGCTCATATAACTAATAAGTAACTAATAAATAAACGTAAACTTAATGTATATTAGAGAGATTATGTAAGTAACAACACTATATGGAGTTCAAACTATTTTTGGAACAATCAAAATCATTTGGTACCAAAGAGGCGTCAATATGATCCTTAAAGTTTGATATGGCCTGCCAAGCTGTTATTAAAACACAATAAAATTACAGATTTAGGCCATTTAACACTTAATTAGGTGTGGCACTAATGATTTGAACTGGTATGTAGAATAAAATCATCACATAGCGACCAGCCTTAACAACCAATCAAATTCCACGAGAATACGAGAAAGCACCTGCTTCACATAGAGGGTGAAGGTCAGAAGCAGAAATATCTTTAGTTTTGCTTACAGTTACGATCTTTCTTTCTTTGTATTTTGTTAGTAAGGTATTTCTCTGTGTATCAGGCTAAAAATACTGTAACAAAATGTTTTATAAATATTATGCAACCAAGTTTAGTCCTTAACCCCCCGAGAATACGAGAAAACAGGATACTGTATTATCAATAATAATTTAATTTTGATAAATATGTGTAATATTTTTTTCCTTTTTTTATGTTTTGACGGTTCTTGTTGGTTCTCGACGGTTCTTGTCATCAGCACATACCATTAGAAAAATATCATTGAAATTGTGTTCAGCAGACCGAAGAAAAACAAAATGATTAGAATTTATGTATATGACATTTATAATACTGCACGTTTTTAACGCCGTTTTTCATTGGATAATCGTGACGTTTATATTATTAATTATAAAGATTGTTGACATGTTATATGGCCCTATATAAACGGCTTTTTGTAAAACTAACCCGAGCCGCTAGGCGAGGATTATATAGGCCAACAAACATGTCTAATACAGGAACTCTTATACAGAATGCTTTATCGTTATTTTTTGTTCGGCGACCGAACAAATACCTTACATAAAAAAAATAATAATAATAGCAAACAAACATCACTTGATAAATTATCTATTTTACATTTAAATAATAATAAAATCATATATTGATTGTCTATCTTTAATCAATATTAATTTTTGTGTTTTACCCAGGCAAAATCGACACTTTTATTGATGTTTTGTTCGTTTAATGTTGTTAAGATGAAAGCTGTATATAAAGTACAGAGCACATAGATAAGGAATTCCTTATCAAATAAAGTTATCAATTACATTTGTGTCATGTTTTATAAAGAACGTTTACAGGTGTATTATTTAGCTCATAATACTGTTAGAGCTTGCATTATCAGAACAACCTATCATTTCATAATCGTTATCGAGCCAGTATGGGGTATCTTTTGTTCAGAATAACGATTCAATGGAAATATTTTGTCCTATAAGCAATTATGCCGTTTAATATAATGCCAATTCAGTTTTAGTTTTTATGTGACTTAGAATGGTTAGTAAAAATAAATATCATTGTAATGTAAAATTTGTAACCAACTGACGTTCAAAATTCAATCTAGTATTTTTTTTTCGATTTTGAAAAATCTGAATGAAATCTATAACATCTTGGCCCCTGAAAATGATAACTTTAAAATTGCAAGTTATTATTAGAGTTGTATCATTAGAAAACGAATTGCCGACACAATCCTTTATTTCATGTTGCATTTTACAGTTAGTTGTAAGACTGTTTGAACTAACTTCAAAGTATTTGAACATATAAAGTGCGACGATTTGTATATTATATATATTGAATATTTTAAAATTGCACGAGACTTTTCTAACTTACTTTATTGAATATCAATATGCGGAAAGGAATATTAGGAATTACGTCTTCAATCCTTAAACATGTTGTTAAAATAGCTTTCCAATTGAAATTTTTGACTTGTAATTATTTATCAAATTTGTTAATATTTTTCATATAAATCACCCGATAGTTTTGTTTGAGAGGTGAAACAAAGCAAACAATTGCGTTGTGACGTATTGCTTTGATATAATAGCCTTTCCATATAAACATGAATTTTTCTTTGCGTGTTTGCAATCAGTCATCTTCTCAAATTTAGTTTTGATTTAATTGTAAAACGATAAAAAGGCGACAAGACATTGCCTCGGATGTGCCTGGCAACCACTGGGTATATGAGGACATGGACTCATTAACATATTGGCAGTTGATATTTGCTTCTTTGACAAATCAACTCGTCATCTTTTGTATTTAGTAATGTAATCTGTAGTTTGGCTTAACTTTAGTTTAACATCAAAGTTCTGTTTTAAACTGCTATAATTTATGTATTTAATCATCGCCTGTTATCATCGGCTTATCACAGTCACTTTTTTATTACTGTATTAATAAAAACTGGTTTTCTTCTGTGTTACAACATAATTGTATTGCTGTTAGTCTCGAATATATTAATTATGACGACATTTTTGAATAAATGATCATTTCTTATTTCGACTATTTTACGACACTACTTAAGAATGAAATTTTAAGGTTTTTTTTTTATTTTACACAAATTGTTATGTACATTACTTCAAACAATCTGTTTAAAACAGCAACCATGAGTTTTTATACTAAAATGTTTTTTGTTGTTTTTTTCTCTGGCAAACATATTTGTTTCGTCTCTGTGTAGACGTAACCCCGTAAATGATAATACAAAGACAATATTGCATAGTATTTAAATGAATTTAAGTTTTTCCCTTTCGGTCAAAAGATGGGATAATCATTCAAAAATACAGACACGTTCATAGACACCTTTGCAAATGATAAAACACCTGACATTGGCTCAAAGTGCAAAACGATGTAACTTTTATTATTACTTCTTGTTGCCAAATTATACATAATATCTTATAGTAATAACCAATAGGCTGTAAAATAACAACTGCACCCGGAACAATATACTGTCATAAATTATTCATCATTGACAGGCAGTCAGATATTACCTTTATAAGTATTTCTGAGCATTGCGAGCTATTTCTTTTTCAACAATTCATAAAAATGATATTTTTGAGAATTAAAATCCAAAATCGAATTAAAAAGAATAGTTAACTGAAGAAAAACATATTGAATTATGATCGACATTAATGGTTTAATCAATTTCGAAAACATGTTAAACTTTCCAAGCCACATACTTATGTTAAGTAAATTAAGTACCAAAGTCAGCACACACATTTTTCCAAAATTTATTAATCATTGATAATTTGCATGTTCAAATTCTATAAAATAAACGAATATCCTTCATTGTATATATACTTTGACACATTGAATTAAAGATGGTGTAGGATATAATTAAAGCTTCAGAGTCTATGAAAACAACCCAATGCAAACACACTTCCATTAAAAAGCCAGACGGAGAAAATTTCTAGATTGAAAAAAAACCTTGATTCACTGCAAATCTCAAGAGAATATGCGCAGGATTACAGGAGTAGGTCTGTTGTAACATAGACGTTTAATCATGAGCAGCTAATTTGCTTGTTTTGACGTTTGATTCCCAAAAGTATATTCCCATTTTATGTATAGACATGTTAATATCTATAATCTAGTTATAACATTTTTCGACTATTTGTGCCTGAAAAAGCATTAAATCAGAAAATATATCACCATTAGTTGTTTCATGTAATTGTTAAACGTCTGTTCATTTTCCGTAACCTATGTTCAACACACTAAATAATTTGTTCCAGAACGTAATTCATTCTATGCTTATCCATTTTGTACCAGAAACAATAGCAAATATATATATAATAACGTCACTCTGATGCAAACTGCTATATAAATGATGTATTGCATAATTTATTCAATGTCCATTACATACAAGTTGCAAGTTGGTGTTTTGTCAAATGTTGTTTTATTGTCTTAAGATGTCAATGTTAAAATCCACTTATCAAGCAAAATAAAAATAATCGGGTATGTACATTTTCTATATTTAATCAAATTGTTTAACAAAGAAAATTCACTTATAAAAAACGCAAATTATCATTAGATAACATCTTGTCGATATAATCCTTTCATGATCAATTTGAACAGTTATTTATATGGTTGTTTAAACTAACTTCAAAGTGTTTGAATATATAAAGTCCGACGATCTGTCGTCGAATATTTTTAAATTGCACGGGCCATGTCATTAATTACTTCATATAAGATCAACATGCGGAAGATAATTATAAGAATTATGTCTCCAAGCCTTAAATATTTTGTTAAAATAGCTTTTTAAGGGATGACTTTGACTTGTCATTAATTGTTA